TAAAAATTGTCTCATGGTGGATCAAGCTCTTTTGATCTCCTGTCTCACGTGTTTTAGAGGTCTGCAGCTGCTGATGGCTGGGCAGCGAGTAGGGAATTCTAGCGTGGTGAAACTATACTACCCAGAGTTCATTAGATCTGCTCCATAGCTATTATTTTTGAGCCTTCTTAATCCCATTGTTATTAGGAGGCTGGAGTAATTTCCACACATACAGCTGTGGGCTGCTGTGTAATACCGTCAGAGCAGATCGGACCAAGCCCCAGCAGAAGTTGTTCCCTCAGAAATGAGGGCGTTTCACCTGATTAGGGTGTTTTCCAAATTGTCCTGCATTGTTCTCTAAGAGAAGTGTGGAGATCTTGTAGTTCACTTTCAGGACTAAATGAATCTGGTGTGTATTAATGTTTGGCTGGTACTGCCCACCTGCAAAGCCCTTTCAGGTAGATGATGGGCAGAATATTTCCCACAAAGTTTACTTGAGGGGAGATATAAGTGGATCTGTAGTTCCATTTGATTCTACTGTTTTGGTTTTGGTTTGGGTTTTTTTGTTTTTTTGTTTTTTTTTTCTCTAAGTGTACTACATAAATTCAAATTAGGGATGCTTGAAAAGGGTTGGGCGTTTTCCAGCTTGTACTTTTGCCTGTGTCTTGGGCTGAAACAACCGAACATTGCCTGGGGTTTAAACACTTGAGTGTTTAAACCTTTGAGTGTTTAATGCCTCCCTCTAAAAAGAACCAGAATTAACAAAATAGCGTGTATAGCTATTTTTGAGAGATATCGCAACAAAACAAAACCAGGGAGTGTTAGAACAAAAGCAAGAGGGTTTATTTTTGTCAAGAATACAGCCTGTCTGACTCCCAATTTCAGTCAGAGAGGAAGGATATCCATCTATATTTGCACATGTTCAACTTCAGTGTTGCAAGTGTTGCAAGATTATAGCACATTGCAAGATAAGTAATATATACTGAAAATGGTTTGGGGTTCTGTGGTTTGTTTGTGTTGTTTTTTTTCTTTTCTTGGGCAAATCAAAGATTACCAATAAGTGAAAAATGTTTGTGCATGTGCATGAATGTGCACACAATGACATAAGTAGACTCTCTCTCCTATAACACTCCTACAGAGTTGCATTCTGACTTAAAATCAAACTTAAAGGCAAGCTTAAGGTAGAAGATGCCTGGGGTTTTTCTTTTGTACTAAATGTGGTCAGCTGACTGAAGTTCCAAAAATTATTTTTCTTGCTGACTACTTTTTTTAACCCCCATTGAAATGGGAAGTGTCTGGAGCTCAGCAAGGATGACATTTATTCTTGGGAGGACGGGAAAAGATTAAAAGTAGAATGAGCTGATTAGGCAGGATGGCTCTGTAGAGAAAGCAGGAGGAAGAGAAATGTGAACATCTGTTAAAGCTATACCAGTGATTATTTTGGCTAAGTTCAGCTTGCAGTTCCTTTTGAATTCCTCCTTCTTCAGTAGATGTCACTGACATCAGTGACAAACATGATATAGGCCTTTGGAGTATCATCAATTTGGGTAATAAAGAATGTAATAAAGAGGAAAAACAGGCAGTTCATTATTACTATTTTTTTTTTTTCAGTTAACCCAGTGTTCAGTGTAACATGCACTAAAAATAAAAATGAGATTTTGAAGATCTGATTTGCAATTGCAATTCCCCGTTCTCTTCCCAATGATATTCCCTTTTACTGGGAAAATACTTAAGACAGCATTGCTAGTTGTAGCGTTGTGTCCACTGACTTACAGTTTCATTCGATACCTGTCATGTAAATCACAGTCCTGTTGGCTTTACTGTGACAGAGCGGAGTCAGGGGATTCTGTCTAAGCTTCCACCATCTTTTCCCTCAAGCTAACATGTAATACACTCAAATCAATCTCAGTCCAATACAGTTGTCCTCTCTGCCCCACAGTAGAATTGTCAAAGATGTTTAATGGCAGAAGAATAAGTTGGGAATTATTATTATTTAAAGAAACCTAGGAATGGGTCTCTTTTACTATTAATTTCTTTTCTTTGTGCATCTAATACCTGCCAGTTCTGAGAGGGAGAGAACATTCTGAGAATTATATTTGGTTTGTATCTTGTCAGAACAAATGATTAATAAAAGCAGCCTGATTTTCTCAACAGTACTGGCTTGCTACCTCAATCAATGGACTATGTTGCTGTCCTTTCTTGAGAAAGATTTTACTATTCTTGTGAAAGTTCTTGTCCAAATTAACTGGAATTAATGTTGAGTGAATGAATTAATGTAGTAATGATAGAAAGGCTTTGCTGAAGTCCAAATAGACATCTGAATGACCTTCATCCTGCATTTTGTAATTAAGTCCAAAAATAGTGATGTTTATGAAAAAGATTTTTTTCTATATATATAAATTTTTTGCAGTTAGCAACTGTGAGAAAAGAGTGGAAAGCATAGAGCGAATTATAGACTTGACTTAATCTTTTATCTCCTGGGAAGAATTAATAATTTAGCACTGGATACTGGAATAGTTGATAGGAAATGTCTACACAACCACTAGATATGAAAACATTTGGACCATTAAAGGAAATGAGCTAAGGGGTGGCTTTTGATATTGTGGAACAGAAATAATGATGGACTGTGAATCAAAGCAGGTAAATTCTGCCTTTGTTTATATGACATTGTATCTTTTAGACAAATAAACATAAGCAAAGCTAAGTGGGGGCAATATTTGAATATGCATTTTAAATTTACCATCCAACATTTGTTTTAGCAAAAAGATTTTTGGAGCTATTGCAGAGAAAAATATTTTGAACTCTTGTATACATATATAGAAAAACATACACTAAATTATGGTTGCTATGTTCTACTTGATTCGTCTCTTTGCTTGTCCTGTGTACATCATTTACGGCTTTTAACCCTATGCAGATGTGCTTTGGCATACTTTGGAGACAGCAGATTACTCAATTACTTTACAAGCAAGTAGTTAATTAAAAGGCCGGTAGTTTTATTCCTCTTCATAGGTAAACAGACACAACTATAAATGGCTGAAGACTTATAATAGGTTGGCATTAATCTCCCTTGCCCCCAGCTATCATGCAGAATTAAAATCATATTGCCTCTTTAGATATCTCTATTTATATTTAGTTTTCAGTTAATCTTTAGTCACTACACATAGATATTTAGATTTTTTTTTAGTTAACAGGCAGTGATTTTTACAATTATCTATTCACTGTAGTTCTCATCACACATGGACTTTCCAGAGAAGTATTAGCTCAAACTGAGAATATATTTCATGTATACTAATTAAGAGCCTTCTTAGAACCATGTATTCTAAGAGCCTTCAGAATAGCATACTTGAATTTCAGTGTCTCACTGAATTACCTGTGCAATTTCCAATAATCACAGGATTGCATGCCAGTGGTAAAAATAGAGGGAAGATTATTGTTACAGTCTTAGTCTTGGTTAAACAGGCACAACAGTAACTGATTTTACATCACATTTCTTGTATTTGCATCAAGCTATACAATAAACAACAATGACATCATATTTTGTATTCAGTATATCCTACAAAATGTTGTTCATTGTATTACAGTTGTGTTAAGGGGACCCAGTCTCAGTGTCAAAGCAGAGAATAAGTAGATATATAATGCTTGCTTTTTGTGAATGACAGGGTGGGTTTTTTAAAAACGATGGGCTTTTTCTAAAATTATCTCTGCTGGTCAATGTACTGTCAGTTGTTTGTCATCCACCAGTCTCTCGTAGGATGTGACTGCTGGATAAGAAAGACTTCCAAAGACAAGAGCAAGTGTGATCTGAGGGAGACCATGGCTTGGGTCAGGAGGCACGTTTGTGTGTAGGTGCTCAGCTTCCAGCAGCCCTCTTGAGTCAGCAGTAGCAGTGGGAACTTTGAGCTAGGTATAGGAGGGACTTTTGGGGTAGGTGAGTTTTATATCTTATGTAGCAGTGTATTATTTCTAGTGAATTAATCTGTACAAGGGAGCTTAACTCACTCAGATGTGGTGCCCTTTATTTTGGCTGATATCTTCATTAATGCTAGTACAGTGAGATACTTAGATTTTGAAAGGTTTAGTAGTAATAACAATCTAAATATGGAGAGGTCTTTTGCTACCATGCAAGCAGAAGAGAAGCTCTTACCTCAGTTCCAGCCTCAGCTTTGTGGTCTTCTCAGGATACTTCAGGACACGGTGAAATATTGCGTGAGAAATCTCTTGCACATTTCTCTTCCCTCTGAGGGAGTCGTCACAGCAGGGTTATGCTTAATGGGTAGTCTAGGTGCTTAATAAATGATTTTGTATATTGTATGTTTTAGGTGCATTTTACACTTTAATTATCAATTCCAAGAATAGTCTGCACTGTAAAACAATTATAGCTGTTTGGGATAATTCTGTTTTCTTCAAACTACAGATAAAGTAACTAGTTTGCAGCTACTGCAGATACAGAAACTAGTTTGCAGCTCACAATTAATTCTTGCATTGCCATTGTCATCCTTGCAAAGTCGTAACTTCAAGGTAAAGCGGCCACTTGCTAGATCAGTTCTTCCAAAAACGGCAAAATCAAAAACCAGCTGGTGTGAAAAGAACAGGAAATAATTGTGTGTATGTGTTTGTGAAAATCAAAGTCTACTTTAGCATAAACTGAACTGCAGTTTGCTATCATTGCTCAAAGGCAGAGATGTCAAAGAGCCAACTCGTATCTCAGGGCTAATTACTACGTATCTGTTAGAGTTGGCACCGAACTGAGTCAAACTGAGAACTGGTGTTAGTTGAGGCAATGAGGCAGCAGTGCAGGAAAATCCCTGCTGCTGGAATTTGCTGCTGGAATTCACTGCTGGGGACTTGAACGCATTTTTTTCACAACATATTGTACCTCTATATGTATATCATGTTGCATCACTATTTGTGAATAAATATTGATTTGTTTTAATTCAGAAAGAAAATATTAAGTCCTCTATCAGTTTTGGCTTTCATCGATTACTAAATTTCTTCCTACTTTTTTTTTCATTGCAGTTTGAGTTCATTCAACTACCGTACAAAATTCACTGCACCAGATACAAAAAATGACAAAAATCTGGATCACATTTTTGCTGTTCTTCTTATCCGTTACTATGGTGAGTCTCATAATTTTTTTAAATCACTTCCAGTTTTAACAAGTATGTACAGAATACCATATAAATTATTAATACGGAAATGCAGAAACAGCTAACCTTGTGTTCAAATGTAGTTTCTGCACAGCAGGATCTTTATCTACCTTCTGTTCTCCTTTTAATTCCTGTGGTAAAGGAACAGAAATAGTACTTACTTCTGCTGATGCTGAACCCAGCATAGCCCTTGCTAGCAGAGAACTTTACAGTAACAGTTGACAAGTGACGTATAAGCAGTACTATGCAGACCCCAGGAAGAGTGGAGGATATATCCAGCTTGGATTCAGAGGACATCCTCAGAAATTTTAATTTCACCCCTTGTATGACAGTGGTACAGTATTTCAGTCTGCAGCTTTGTTTTTCCATGAGGTTTAGCAGCTTCCCATAAAATATTTAACTACTTTTAAAAATGCACTTTAAAGGTTCTGATCAAGATCCACTTTCTTATGTTTTTTAAAAAATTATTTTTAATAACTATAAAAGTCAATGTCATGTCTTTTAAATACTTTTTTGTATTCTGAGGGTTGAATTTATGGTTCACAAGACTGTAGAGTAACCAAATAGCTCTAAAGAAGCCAAAAGCTGCAGTGCATACAATATATAGAAAGTCTTTTTTCATAAAGGATCATTTCAGGCCTGATTCAAATGCCTTTTAGATTAATGTAACTTTGACATATTTTACTGGATTCTGCAAAAGCTGTTTATATGCTTTTGATTGTCTCAGTGCTTTCTATGCATTTTTCCACTATTATTTACAAATCTTGCAGATTGCTACTCCCCCATGCTCATTCAGGAGATATTTGGCAAGATTCAGTAGTAAGAAGAATTGCTAAATTATCCAGAAAAAGACAAAATCATCCTGTCAGTAATAAGAATTGAAGATAATTTTCCTTCAATAAAATAATATTTTAAATATAATATTTTAAAAGATTTTATAAAAAGATAATAAGTTCATAGTGGAGTCTGTACATGACTTGCTAAACAAAGTCTTTTTCCTCTTAGTTTTTTGCCACTGCTATACCATCTGAAGGGCATCAAAATATGACGGAGGACTTCACTCAACTGAGTGTTACACGGAATAAAATTATGACAGCGCAGTATGAATGCTACCAGAAAATCATGCAAGATCCTATCCATAGGAAAGAAGGTAAAGATTATTTTCTTATAAGGTTTTACAAAGGCAAATGGTCAACAGATATAATTACAGTAGTTCAGGATCTTTCAGTTATATTAATTTCTTCTCTTGGCAGCAATGATTTTTTAGGCTGTAACTGTGTTTGTGCGGCTTTTTAGAAATGTCACTTTGGGATTCATGAAGATAAAGTAATATGTTATATTACCTGCCCATAGCACCACTTCTTATATAACACAAAGCTTTTATTTCTGATGAGACAAGAAAATGTTAAATTAAATAGATATCCAGATTAAAAAATGATGACTGATTATTCTTATCACTTTATTTCATTTTGTGCTCTTATAATACCCCTGTCTCCCTGGTCGCATCTGCCTTTAAAAATTGGAAGTATCTTGATACACATCACTTCTCTGCTCTGAGGGTTGTGTTAGTGTCATTAATGCCTTTTCTGATAAATTATTCAGAGCTAACCTCAGTAACTCTACCTGTTGCTGGATTCACTTTTTCTGACTTTATAACTTCTGGAAGCGTTGAATGGCTTGTGAGGCAAGGAGAGGTAATTGCGTTCTTTTACAGTGAGTTTTTTTTCTCTTCTGCAATGATTCTTTGGAGGAAATACATGCGTGGAGGTCAGAAATGAGTATGAGTATGACAGGTTAAGCTTATGTCCAGCCTGGGGTATCACAGCTTCAGAAGGATCTGGACAAATTGGAAAATCTTCAGATGAGAAGAGGAGCAATTACATGACATTTGAAAAATGCAGCCTTTGAGATGGGGGCAGGGGTGGACAGAACATTATTAAGTCTTAAAAAGAAAACTGACAGAAGATAATAAAAACATCTTCAAATTTCTAGAGGGGGTCAGTCATTCTACATGCCTTTTGGGAAAGGATTTGTTTATAATACCCCCAGCTCATTCCTAAGGGAGGTTTACTTTAGACCTTAGAATTTGTGTGAGTGCAATGAGGCTTGAAACAGGCTCTTGAGGGACACTGTGGATGCCCTGTCCGTGGAGCACTTGGAGAAGTGTCCGTACCTGGTGACAGCCACAGGCTCAGCTCAGCCTGAGGCAGAGGCAGAGGAGCTGTGGCTGCCTCCCAGCCAGGATTTCTGATGGGATACCACTGTGTTCTCAATGGATTAGTAAACATATGTATAAGCTTCGTATGCACCCAAAATGTAAATAAATTCAGTAAAACGGTCTTTGCAAACCTAAGGGCTCCTTGTTAATAGGTATTATTTGGTCAGAATTTATTTCATTTGTTTTGCCTACCGTGCTCTAGATTTGAGGTTTGTAACTTGTACACATAGATCATTTCAAGATGCATGATGATGCATTTTAAAATTTGTTCAAAGAAATATATAGGGAAATATTTCTATTAAGTGGCGTTTAAATTATCAATTGCTAAGTCTTAGGTTCCTATTTTCTTTTTTTTCTCATTGCTGCAAGTAAGAAACTTATGCAGTCTTACGTCTTACTTTTGAAAGACTATTATGAAAGAAAGGTTGTTATTTTATTATCAGTTCTCTACTTGTTTGCAGGTCCTTACTGTAACAGGACGTGGGATGGTTGGTTGTGCTGGAGTGATGTTGCTGCTGGAACTGTGTCAGTACAGCGTTGTCCTGACTACTTTCAGGATTTCAACCCGTCAGGTAAGTGTGCACAGGCTTCTCCAGCAATATATTTCTTCATAAAATGAAGTTTTGGGTGCTTGATACCTCCTGTTTTTGTCCCTCGAGTCACTAATGCTCCAGAATTTCAGGAACTCCAAACCCATTACTTGCATTTTCCCTTTGTCACATAGAAAACTGACAAGTTACTTATTTTCTTTTCTGAAATATATCCTTGAGGGTTTCTCTAGATTAGGAAATAGAAATTGAAGTTAGATCATGTGAGATGATGAGATATGACTTATTCTTTTACCTCAATTTAGCAGTTGAAGTCCACAAGAATTTCTCCCACAAGTGAACGTTTTCCTGTTTCTGTAGGCAAACCTTTGCATCTGTGAGCATGTGGAAAATGTCATAGACTTCCACTTTTGTCTCTTTCTGCTGCATTTAATATTTCCCAGTGTCCTTTCATGCCTCTTTCTATTTGATGATAGAAATCATTATGTAGTCCCAGAAATTTTCCAGTTTGGTTCTTGAGCAGTTTCTCTGTTCCCGTTTTCCTGCCTGTCCAATCCTAATTTACAGGGGTAGGATGTCAGACTTCAGTTTATATCTTGGATGTTAAACAATCCATTTCAATATTCCTGTCACTTCATCTGGTAGTTCTCTAATGGTTAGTTTGATATATTTTGGTATTTAGTGGACTGGAGGAGGGAAATCTATTTGTTTTCTGAAGAAAAACACATTATCAGTTGTCCTTGCCAAAAAAAAGCAATGGCCTCTAGTTTCTCAGAATTCATAGTAACAAGCAGTGTCTCTCTAGTCATATTAATAAAGCTGTCATTTGTTTCCCAATCATTCCTCATTAAATAGTAGGCATCAGGAAGTAGGACTTCAGTGCTGACTGTTGTGTTTTTCTTTTGGTTTTGTTTTTTGTTTTTCTTTCATTTTTCTTTTTTGTTTTTCTTGTTATCTACTTTGACTTTAGAAAAAGTTACGAAGATCTGTGATCCAAGTGGGAATTGGTTTAGACACCCAGAAAGCAACAGAACGTGGACAAATTACACCCAGTGTAATATCTATACGCATGAAAAAGTGAAGGTAGGAAAGGAATGAATGCATGTTACCGGTGTCAACAAACTGATCTGAAAAACTTCACAATTTTCAAAACTTGAATGGCAGCAGAGTTGATGCAACATCAAAATGCAGAAAGAAGAAAGCATGTTGAATAAAAAGGAGGAACTGTACGAAACAGACTCAAAAAATCCAACCCACCTGCTTTGTCTTTTACAGATGATTTCAACTGCTTGAATAATACGATCATATTTTTGTTTATGGGTATTTTAAATGTGTAGGTACTAGTACTTGTCTAGGTCATCCACAGTCATCTACTGGTAAGCAAAGTGTGTACCTTGTAAGAGCAGATCTTTACATTTTACTCTGTAGTTTTGAAGTAGGGTCCAAGTTCAGCAGAACTGCAGGAGGTTTGCACAACTCTGGAAGATGTGCTGAGTGCATGGGTTTATCCAATTAACTCATAGTTGACAGATTTTCAGCAGGTGCACAACCGAAGTTTTACTTGGGATTAATACATCTTCTAAGTAACGTTTGGATATTTTGGGTTTGGGGTTTTTTCCCCAGTGTGAAAAGCACAGCTAATCTTTTCTTTTTTTACAAACACGTAGACAAGCTGTAGTTGAGTGAGTTCACCACAGGATCTTTGGAGGTCAAAGGGAAGTAAATGATGAGAAGTGTTAGGGTCTGATGTCCCCTGTGATGCTTTTCCTGTGTATGTCTTGTGTCTGGGCTCCCAAGTGCCTTTTTCTTTTTTTTTTTTTTTTTTTTTCAGTTTTTGAGAGATTAAGCTGCTCACATGAATGAAAAACCTACACTTTGAGTTTATTTAAGTGAAATTTTGCAGGCATCCAAAATTGTCTCAGGCCAGACAGCAAAATGCTCAAAGAGAGTTGTTTGATATGCATCAAAGGTAGACTCTATGCACACACATACCCATGTGGGTATATGTATAGATGGTACTTTTATAGTCTTCAGTTTATCTTGAAGATGTCCATCCATTGACAGATTTAGAAAAATAAAATTAAAATGACATAAAAAATATTGTAAACCTCCAAATGCCCTCTTTCTGAAATGTTCTGTGGTATGTGGGGATATAATGGGCAAAATTGCATATTTTGCCCCCCACGCCACCATCCACTAATATTCTTCATGTTTATGAAACATGAAACATTCAGTCATGGGAAGAATCAGTGAATTGAAACTAGGAATATAAAATACAGGTTAGGATAGACTGGAAATTAATTTGGACATCATGAAAAAGAGATCAATAATAGCAGATTGCATCAAGAATACTGACGTCTAGTAGAGATCCTAACTGCCTGCATCACTGCTGTCAAGAGTGCTTTAGGGTATTTACCTAGAAACCATATCGAGAAAAGGTGGTAATAGATGATAATGAGGCACTTTTGTATTGCTTTTTCTGAAATCATGAGACATTGAATACACTAATGGCAGTTTAATTGTACTAGCAGAGGTGCTATAATTCATCGATTCTAGCTAATATTTGGCTGGAAATTGGGATAATATTATCCAGGCAGGAGCAGCTCCGTGAAGATCCTTCTTTATGAATAATGAGCTAGTTTCCCTCAGGCTGTTTTGCCAGGATATTTCAACCCTGTCATGCATCAGAAGCTATTGTTGAAATGGAATAATAGCCCCGAAGAAAGCCTTACTGCTTGCTACAGTTCTATGTGTTGTTATATTAAACGACGTTATCTTTCCACTTTACTCAGAAGGCGGCTTAGATAATGCACAATAAATGTGACTGTTGTCCAGTGTTGAATTTTTATTGTTATCGCCCTCATCAGCAGTCCCTGCTGTACCACTGTTTCATGCCTGTTCTAAATTGTGCTGAAATCTTCTAAATCCTTATCATGCACCTTTGCCTAAACTGGTCACTGAATGAGATGGTGATATGGGATATGGGCAACAGAAAGGCTGTTGTTATGTATACGTAGCCAAGCTTTTGCACTTCAGGGGTAACCCTTGCTTTTTCTCACTTCCAAATTTTTATGAAAGTTTCACATAAGCCTATTGCATTCCTTTTTTTTTTATTTTTAAATAAGTTATCTCATTTTTAAAATTAATGATAATTTGAAAAATGCCAGCATGTACAAAGAGGTACCCTTGTCTCATCTTACAACCTTCTTAAAGCTTTACCTGGAATCTTTTTATATTATTTCAAAAGTCAATATATGAAGCAAGGTGCAGTTAGTCTATCTTAAATTGGAATAATAAGTTCAGAAGATACATACAGTTTGAAGTACATGAGCATTTGTAGGTATACTCTAATTCTTCCTATAGAACCCAGGTAGTTGTACTTTATTGTGATAGTATAAGGCTCAACCTGAGTATCTTAATTTCCTTATGTGCAAAATGATAGTCTTACATTTAATGCAACAAGAGAAATTTTGTGAGGTGGGTTCCATGACTGAAAGCAGGGGTTTGTTATTAGTGGAATTGAATATGTTTATTAATTCAAAGAATTAATGATAGCATGTATATATTCCAAATATGATTTTACTAGTTCCTAATTTTTACCTTTTGTATCTACCCAGCTTTTCATAGTTCTATACTTTGGCTGTAGACTTATTTAACCAGACTGTTTAGTCTTCACTATTTTTCAGTCATTAATTTTTTTCACACCCTTCCTTAAATGCTGAAAGAAAATTAAATTTGCAACATCATAATCACAGATTGCTTTCAAGGAAGTATCTTTAAATGGTAAGAAAAAAACATTCTTTGAGGAAAAAATACATAAACTCATATAGGAAGCACATTTTTTACTTAAGAGTTGTGTTAATAGATGAATTAAGCCTCAGACAGGAATGGACTGAGTGCAGTAGCATAAATAGCCAAATCTATGTAAATACTCAGAAAAAAACACAGCAGTATATATTAGAAACCTAATGTTTTAACTGCTAAGAAGTTAGTTCTAGCAATGATTTCAACAAATCTGTTGCATGTCCTACAGAAAGAGATTTTAGTAAGGTGTTAATTTGTAGGATTCTAAACTTGAGTCATCTTTATCTTGTAGTGTTTTTATTTTCTTACTCCAATTATAGTCATTTTATATGCAGAAGAGATGTATAAGTTTGCATTTTATCAACAATAGTTGTGTATGCATCACAGGTGCTTCATTTTGTTTTTGTATTGCAGACTGCTCTGAATTTGTATTACTTGGCCATCATCGGACATGGTCTCTCAATTGCATCACTTCTGATTTCTCTTGGCATATTCTTTTATTTTAAGTAAGTATGTTTAAATCCTTTACCAAATATCAGTGGTTGTGACAATGCTGGTTTCAATGCTTTGAAACAGCAGCCATCCCAATGAAATTAGATGCTGAAAGAAGGTGAAGAAAGTTGGTATATATGTTTGGCATTGAATGTTATATTGGAATAAAATTTTAGGTTTGTTTTCTCAGAAACCTAAAATCCCAAATCTGCAAACCAAAAACTGTAAAATATATTGAAAATAGGAAATGGTAAAATGGGAACATTTTTGTTTGTTTGTTTTGGGTTTGTGGTGGTTTGGTTTGGTTTGGTTTTTTTAATAATGAGTTACAGTTTGGATATGCCTAGCATCAACCAAACTAAAGAGCAAATGGAAACCAAAATACTGATGATGTATGATAGGTACAGTAACATTCCAAAGTAGGTAGCCACAAAATATGATAAACTGTAAAGAAAGTAAGGCTAAGAGCTACAGTAGGAGTGGAAATAGTAAAAATAGTCCTGTTTTTTTCTATGACAGTTGTGTCATATATGCTAACGGTTATTACCTTCTTGTAAGAAAGCTTGAGCAGTGTATCACCACTGTCACAACAACTTGTCATATAATGCACAGGTCTTTTAAAATTAGTTTACTCATTCACTTTTGTGAACTTTTCTTTCCTGTGAAAGACTTTTTTTTTTTTTTTTCTGAAGTTGATGAGGCTTACTAGAAAGGTGAAACCAGGAGTGCTGCCACATCAGCAGAGCTGAGAGAGACAAGTTGTTCTCTCTGCCAAATGCTGTACTGCATAGCGTAGGCTTTCCTTGGTACCAGGCACTAGTGGAATCATTTCTGCAGCTTTTTTTTATTGGATAATATAGATCTGCTCTACTCTCTTACCCATTTCTTACCACTATACCCTACCATCTCACTCCATCTTTTATTTCTTCTTAACACTGAAATATGAGTAGCGCATACAGCAGCAACTGTGGGGCTAGCTCACATTTTGCTTTTCTCATGCTCTGGACTTTGATTATGTAGGAGTAGCAGATATCTGATAAAAAAATTATCCTTCTTAGTCACATCTGGCTGAGTACAGTGTTTCCAATTTAGACATGCATTTTTTCCCCAGGTTCTCAGACAACATATCCACAAATCCCCAACAAATCAGTGTTTCAACTTTGTAGCCTCTCTTTGTGAAATCCAATATTCAAGATGACTTTTCAGCTCCTTCTGACTTCTTTTCATGAGGACAAACCAAAACACTTGTGTTTTTTTTTAATCAATTTATTTGCATATGGCCTGTAAATACAATGCTTATCATTTCCACGTTCACTTTCCCTCCACAAAATCGACATGAGAAATGGCTCTGAGTCCTTCTAAGAAGCTTGATTTTGCCTAAAAAAAGGCCTACACTGTTGCTATAAATGCCACAAAAAGTTTAACAGTCTAAATACCTAATGTGACAGGAAAAATGCTTTGACATAGACTTCTCAGGAGAGAACAAAAATATTTAGACTAGAATATGATTTTTAAAGTTCAGACACAGTAAAGCATGATTTTTCTGTCCTGTAATATGAAAAGCAAGCCAATTTCATCTTGGCTTGTGGTACGTACTGCAAAAGCAGGTGATCTGCTTTGCTACCGTTATAACTATGTCATGTTTGTCTAAGTCTCCAGGGATTCTTTTCTTCTCCCGCTGGTAGAAGGATCATCTCCCCTCAGAGAACCACGTGGAATTAATCCAGACCCACAAACCACAATTTCTAGAGTGTGGTTATGCTGGGATATAAAAGGAAATTACAAAATTTAAAGGAAGCTAAAGAAAGTCCTCTACAAGCTGTTCTCTTGGGATGTACAGTTCCTCTAAAGTATTTTTAGTTCCAGAGGGGTATTTAAGGATCTAGATTAATACCAGGATGTATTATGTATCGGCTGAAGCTTGTGCAATTATTCATAGCTTTAACAGGTGGACTTTTTTTTTTTTTTTTTTGCTATTGTGTGGGGTGCCTTTGACTTTGTCATGTTTCCAAATAATGTATTCTGTTAATCAATTAATAGTTTCCAGGCAACATTTGATGGATTGCTGACCATTAGAATATCTTTATGTTTGACAAGAAAGGCGGTACTTTTCTTCATAGGAAAAATGCCAGTTTTTTTTCAAATATCTTCAACTTTTAAGGATTAACATTTTATTTTGCATTTTATTTTTTCATTTGAAATTCTGTTTTTTCTTCAGAAAATTGTCTCTTCGAAATACTTATCCAGTTTATGACTTGTGTTCCCCAAGTGGATTGGAGTTCTTGGTTTAATAGCATACAACGGGCTATAAACTTGGAACTCTGATCTTCCTTTTTGAAAATTCATCTATGACACATAAAAGTAACTTCTGCAGTGGCTCTGCTTCCTCATTCCGTTCCATACTCTAAATCATACATGTGTTTATTATAAAACTTCTGTTAAAATAGTTGTATGGTTTTCATAAAGAAGAACAAGGCAAGAGAAATCTTAAAAGAACAGTGAATTCAGAGAAAGCGGAGCTGTAATTTGAAAGATGTCCCCCACACACACCCCAAAACAAAAAATAAAAAAACAAACAAACAAAAAAAACCCCACCTGAAATAAAGAAGCTGTCGATCAAGCACCAGTTAAAATAACATGATGGCACCCACAGAGGATAAAATGCTATGCTTAAAGAGTGGACAAGTGACTGGATCATAGATTGATAGAGAGAGAGGAGGTTCCTCAGTCCCCTTGAGTTAATTTCAGCTGAAAGGGTAACTCCCCTTAGGTGCATATATGGATCTCACTGGTTGAATTTTGCAGTATGTGAATACCTTAAAAAATCTGATCCCAAACACATCTGGGTGCCTTTGAAAATGTTACCTTTTTTCTTTTGGAGAAATACTGGAGAAATGAATTTTTCCCTAATGCCCAAGACATACAGGAGTCAAAATAGGAATGGGAAATAGGTAATTTAGCAGGAGGTCTGTTTTTATTTTACTGCATAGGGTTTAAATCAGGGATAGGTCATTCAAATGTTCTTAGATCATAATTATGAGAATTAAATGATTAAAGGATATTATGTCATTAAGAAAAACAGTCAGAAAAAGGAATATAGGAAGGGTAACAGAAGAGGGAGGGTGGGGAGACTTAGGAAAAAATCATTTTATTACCAAAAACAGTCTTCGTTTTTTAAATGTCATCAGTCTTGCTTTCTTGTTTCTTGTCTGGTGATCCTCAATCCTTTTATGCATGGGTGGAGGTGGGTGTGGATGGGTGTGTTTGAATATTCAACAGGAACAGCTGCTGGATGACCCTGAGAGATGGCCCCGTTAGCTGTACGTGCTTTTCCTTGCCTGTGCATTGAATCTTAACAATAAGCAGACAGAATTCCAGAGTTCTTCAGGACTTGTTTACACAAAGCACTTAGCTGGAATCTAGTATTGCCTCTCTTTTCATATATAAAATATATAGGGGAAAAAAAAACCCACAACCATATTCAAAGAACATAAAACCAGCATATTATAATAATCAAAGATTTACGTGTTTCAGGCATTAAAACAAAAGCGAAAATAAAATTAAAAAAAAAAAAAAGCCTAATGGAATATACTTTAATCATTTAATTCACATCCAAAGCTGTGTTCTATATTTTGGACACTTTCTGTTTTCTTCGGGCAAATAACACCTAGCAACCAGAGGTTCATGTGGTTCCTTGTGCTGTATGGCAGCACTGATTTCTACAGTGGTTTCTCTTCCCTGCGTTTAGTGACATGAGGCTTAGAACGTCTGAGGTCTCCAAGGCTTAACTGGCAGAAACTCTGTCTGCTTGATTCGTGGTATTGCACTGTGCATGTCTGAACCTGTCAGCTTACTCCATGTCTCTGTGGGGTGCTTCAGACGATCTTCTTGTGATAGTTGCAAAGAATGCAACCAAGAAGTGGAGTCTTCTCTGTAGCCACTCTTCGCTATCTCTCTCATTCTGTGGGGTCATATTGTTTCTTGTTTCATCTATCACTTTCTCAACAGATTTCAGTATAGTCCTCCAGCTTTGGTGACTATTCCCTAACTGCATTTCTCTGTTAAAATATAAAGTCCTTCTCCTTCCTGCCCTCCCAAATTAAAAACGAATCACTAATGTCCATACTTCATCTTTTTTGCCAGGCATGCTATTTGAAAAGACTAGAAAACTTGATTATTTTTTTTTCCCTCTGTGTGACAATTTAGACTTCTTCCCTGCTGACTTTGTCAATGTATTTCTGATTTCTCTAACAGTGAAGAGTAGTTGCTTGTAAGTGATAGATTTTCTTCCTCTAGTTAGTCATTTCATTTTGTCAATCAACCCCACTCCACATTGCTGGCTATTAAATGGAGGCAGATGCTTCAGTAGATGCTTTCTCCAAAGTAACCAAAGAGCGTTTCCTGAGAGTGACCACAGTACCACAGTCTCTATCACTTCTCTTTGCGTGTGGGAGATGTTTCTCTGAGCAACGCTCACCCTGCAAAACCGGCTCTGCTCCTGACTGCCACCACTGATGTGTTGTGTGACTCTGATCAAGTCAGTATGCTCAGATGTGCTACACACCCCCTATCTTAAATCTAAAAGGCTCATTTTTACCCAGCTTCGTCAATTGATCATCTACTTTCATAACAAAATGGATGTCACTTGCTTTTTGAGCATTAAGCCTTAATATCCCAACGATCTGAACATAAGCCTGTGTAGGCTTTCTATCTTCTTTCATGTTTGTAAAGCTGAATTTCTTTGGAAAAAACTGAATGAGAAGCACTCCTACCTCTTGGAATCATACTAAGTTAGACCTGCATTCTTTAGAATGGCAGATAAACAGAAATTTGCGGTGACTGTGTTCAACTTTGAGTGCTATTTAATATTATTGAACCTCTGTTTAAAACAACAACAAAAAAAGAGGTCTTCAAAACATTTTTCTCGTTAATTTTATTGCCATATTAAAAGCAAACTTGAAAATTAACACAATTAAATACAGTTATAGATTGCATTTTATAATTGTATTCTGTATACTTAGTTATACAAAAGTCAAGATAAGATTTGCTTTATTTTACTTATTTTGGTATTTCTCCAGCTATAGAATTAAGGGAGAGAAATTACAAGAATGTAAGTAAAAGAGAATTAACTTCAAAAAATCCTAACAAGTTTGGATAAATAGAAACAGTTTCTTCAAGCTCAGGTATGATAGTTAATTGGGAAATTCTTCTCGTACTAACAGGGAAAAAAGGTATAAATCTTCTGAAACATATTATATTATTGCTATTCAAATCACTTTTAGATAGCCACTGCAAAGTAGGTCCTTCATTGTAAACATATTGGAACTGAATGTACTTGCTTTGCCTCCTGTTGTCCAAAAAAATTAAGATTAAGGGAAGGTGTTACCTTTCACATCATTCTATTAAATTTGGACTGGAGCTGAAGAAAGGGTTGATGTAAGACCTTCTTAATAAAATAAAGGACTCTAATATTTCAAAATTTCAGAGTTGTCCCCAGGTACACACAGTTGTCCCCCCGTGTATTCATTTGTTCTTGTTTCTCTATTCTAGGAGCTTGAGTTGCCAGAGGATTACCCTGCATAAAAATCTATTTTTCTCTTTTGTTTGCAACTCTGTTGTAACAATAATTTCACTGACTGCAGTTGCCAACAATCAGGAGTTAGTTGCAACTAATCCAGTAAGTAAAAGTATGTTTGGCAGCCTTGTTGAGTTGTATGTGAAAAACTTCAGCAAGGCAGAAGAAATAAATGAGACATGAACACTTGATGAAATGTTGTATATAGAGAGGTTAAAATGTTCAGTAACCACGTATCCATGTTACGTAGTACAACAGATGTCTGACAATGATTTGAGCATTTCACATTTGAGGTTTCGAAATAGGAAAAACACTTGAAGAGACAGAGCATACTGAACTGCTCTTCTGAATTTGTACAAATCACTTTTGCACTGTAAGAAAGAAGCCTATTCTAGATGATGTCAGTGAGGTTATGACAGTTGAACTCACCAAGGAAGGGCAGTAAAAAAGACTTCGGAGTGTATTTTGGCTGTCAGCTACTTTCCTATGGCTTTAATTTTGCCATCTTCAGTTGAAATGAGAAGAATTAACATTTTTGTGAAGGGAGATAAAGCTGACACTTATATTCCAAAAGTAAAAAGCAGAGTAAACTGTCCGCTTGGGTCCAATTTTTCTCTCTCTCATTTCCTCATAATACTGGGGCAAGTGTGAATCAGTAGCCTCTCCCAAAAGGCTAGGAGTTATAGCAACGGAAGAGCCTGAAAATGAAATACATAAACAAACAAATCCCTAACTATAGCTTTATTTTTATTTAGAGCTGGAAGATAAATTTAAATTCTGTGAAAGCTAGGGCAAAACTCCAGAAGCTGAATCAAGTATAAAGGCAAATTTTCTTTCTCCTGTAAAAGCTCATCAAAGTGCTGGAAAACAAGCTTGAGATAGCTGCTGATAGTCATCATTGAGTTAGGTAGCAGAACACTGTAAAGCAGTATTGATTTACGGTTTAAGCTAAGTGCCAGAAATAAATCAATCAACCACATGGTAATTTCAGAAGGAAAAAAAATCTACTGTGTCCGAATCTGCAAGTTAACTATTGCTCCTTTTTCACAACCTCACATTTTAGTCTTCACAATAAGTTACATTATAACATTTCAGTTGACGAGTATCTTTTGAATGAAGCTAAATATGAATATATGCTAACAAGCGAGCTTCCTTCCAGAACCTACTATGCAAATTCTCAACTGCCCCTAAGTGGAGTTACAACTACGTTAAAATTGGAAGTATTGTAAGCATTTTAAAAACATAAATCGTTCTCTGGAGTAGTTGTAATCTGTGATTGGTAAAATTGAGAGGGGATTACCCGCATCAAAGTACGTTTTCTTGAGTGGTTACCATCAGATAATTTAAAGATTCCTTATTGATTGGAATGGTCAAATGTGGCAATGTTTGCAACAAGGGAAAATATCATTACAGCTTTCTGCCATGATGCTTGAGGATCTCGACATCCTCATGTTTGAATACTAAAAATGCAGACTTGGTTACCAACTTTTTTGTCACCATAAAGTGTGGAATTGTATGAAATTCTATGAAAATTCTGTTTTTAAAAATATATGTAATTGTAGTGAAAAAACAGAATAAACATTAACATTTGACTCGAGCAGTATTTTTTTTCTGTTTTGCAAATAAAGCTCTGAGACTTTTGCAACGTAGAAATGTATATTGCTCTCTGTTTTTTTCAACAGGTTAGCTGCAAAGTGTCACAGTTCATCTACCTGTACCTAATGGGTTGCAACTACTTTTGGATGTTGTGTGAAGGCATCTACCTGCACACTCTCATTGTGGTGGCTGTTTTTGCTGAGAAACAACACTTGATGTGGTATTACCTTCTTGGCTGGGGTATGCAATTTCAGGTTCTGTACTTTCAGGCTAATGCGGTCTCTTGCTCCTTTTCATGAGAATTTGAACATCTGCCCCTTTGCTTCTCTGAGCTGGTGGCTTTGAACAACGCTGACACACCCCTCTTCTTTGTCTGCAGTGTTTTAACAGGCTCAGAAATGTTAACGTAGGAAGTTGTACGTACCTCTATCTTAGCTGAAAGAGAGATTGTGTGTTTCTGCAGTCAGGAAGGGACTCCTCCTTTGTATAGAGAAAATAGTCTGCTATTATAAAGAAGACATTAAGAAGTAATTATTCATTGTTCCTCATCTCAAAGATGTTTATTCAGGAATGAATGTTTGTTTTCAGAGAAGTCTCGCCATGTCTAGGGTGGAGGGTCAGAACTGAGTTAGAGATGGCCAAGGATTTATTTTTCCAGCAGTTCCATTTGACCTGTATTGTTCCCTAAGCAAATACAGAATAGCTGTAGCTGAAGATCTCAGTATCAGAACTAACAAGCCAAACCTGGTAATTTCAGATAATACACAGCAGCATATTCACAAAGTGCAAGTGAGGGCATTCTCCTCAGCTACAGCGTCTCGGCACATTCAGCTGTAATGTGAGTTGGTACCTGGGTCACGAGCTGTCCCCCTACAGACACAGCTGAGATGTTGTTCAAAGATCACAGGTGCTCAGCAGTTTCTGAAAATCAGGTAGCACCAGGGTGTCAAGGACCCCAGATGACGAATTTGTTTATTCTTTTTAAATTTTGAATTCGGCCTGTTTTCTAGAGTCCGTTTTCAAATTTGTTTTGCAGGTGACCTTGTTTTCTGAATACCCAGCAACTATCAGTAAGGACATAATCAACACTGATTATCATACTGTTAAAACTGTGGTCAAAAAAACAATTACCTTTTTAATATTACTTATCTATTTAACATTATTGCAGACTGCAATCTGAAAAATGTCTGTGTTAATGAAGATTGATCATTGCAGTCTAAAAAGTTATAATTTGATTTGCCTTTTCTTGCTGCGTGTTGGTGTGAATTTCCTGGCAAGACAGTGTGAATAAGGTTTCATGCACCCCTCGGAAAGAAATCTAAGAAAATAGAAAGTGAATTGGTCCCTGTTACTTTATTTGCTCTGCAGGTATATAGTTTGGATGAGGTGCAAGTACAGAAGATTCCTGCAAGAGATGCAAGTTTACTTAGTTATTTGCCAGGTTTATATATGAAAAAAAAACATTGTCTTTTCTTCACAGGTTTTCCACTGATCCCTGCCTGCATACATGCTGTTGCTAGAAGTTTATATTATAATGACAAGTAAGTAGCATCTCAACTTACTGTGCGAAATTGTTATATTTTCTTTTAGGGGAAAAAAGGAATACAACGGATAATAAGATGCCAAATATTTTTTTCTTTCCCTGTTTGTTTTCTCTAGTTGTTGGATCAGCTCTGATACTCATCTGCTGTACATCATCCACGGCCCTATTTGTGCTGCTCTGTTGGTAGGTGTTTTTCAGATAACAATTTGTTGTTCTTATTTGTTTTCTGGCTGTTCTTCATGGGCTTACAAAGTTGGTCAGAGCCTAAAGCTAACATTAAGAGGTCACTGTCATTTGCAGGAGTCTCACTTAACCCAGTAGGTGCCTTAGACACACAGGATACATAAGTCTTGGCCTCATTAAGGAGCTGTACCCCTGATCCTTTAAGAAACTCAGGTTTTGCAATGTTGATTATCACCACACTTAAATGCTAGTGACAAGGAAGGACTAAATATTACTGGGAGCACTGGAGGGCTGCGCTGCCCAGGCCGTTTGCCAGGTTGACCCTACCACTAGCATCATTGTGTCACTCTGCTAATGTGGCCAAACGGTTACCAGCCCAGACCTCACCGAGGTTCGGATAGAGGACTCTTGAGTGTCACGACTGACTGTGGGTGGCAATACGGGATGGA